AGGTAATTAAAGTTTGATCAGGTAAGAAAACGTGATTAATTACTTTTGCTCCTTTAGATTATAATTTTAGTGTTCAGACTAAATATAACATATCCTAATAATAACCAAGACAAACATAGAGCTAGGTACCGGAGATAGCTATCTTTTGTTTCTTCTTCAAAGTATCAAATGCCTGTGGATATTCATGTAGTTTTATTTTTATTATCGATGATTTTAAAGAAAAAAATGGATTCCAAAACTTCTCGATCGATATATGCTTGGAGAAAAATGTAGATTAGCAGAAAAAAAAGAGCACTACCATAAAAGTTAGATTTGTATTTTCATTAAAATATAACTAAAAAGAAAAAAAAAATTATATTTTATTTCTATGTTGACTTCCAAAATATACCACATATATCGGAATAGTACCTGACTGATTTAAGTTTAGACAAGTTTGAAATTTTCAAATAAAAAACATTGATATTATTGTTCAATGCTGAAAGACCAATCTATAAAGATACTTTGGTCAACTTTTGAGGATAAGAGTTGAATCAATAGATAAACATTGAGAAAATCATGTGAGGCTCTTTTTCTTCTGAACATTGCTTTCAACAGCACGTCAACACCAACGCGAAAAGTCCAAATACTATACATGTGGTATGCATGGGATCACATTACTTTATATGATAATTAATTCATTACATATGTATGAATCATAGCTTTTGATTTATTAAAGTAATTGTAGCTTGAAAAATTATATCACTTTTAAAACAAATCAACTTACTGTTACTATATTTGGAAATGACTACGGTTTATTCAAAAACGACCCGAGTTTGATTCTAACAAGGACCTCTAATTGATTGGTTATTGCTGCTTAAGATCAAAATCGAGCGTGATCAAATAAACAGAATCAAGAACCTTCTTGCTCTAAACAAGAATCACTGTCTGAAACTCGTTTACTTGGACAGGTTCTTACATTATGTCCTTTTTTCTTGCAGAACCCACAAGCATATCCTCGCTTATTACCAACACCATCTTCCAAGGAATCACCACCACCGTCACTGGGTTTCACTCTGGCCAGCTTCCGGCATGTTCTACTGTTGTGACCGCTCTCACGGCATATCCCACATCGGTGATACCTTGTGGAAATGCCTACAATGACCATTGATTTCGACTTAGGACAGGTTCTTCTGTTATGGCCTTTCCCACCACAAACCCGACATCTAGTTCTTCTGTCCGCGTTAGCCTCCAGTTCTGGACAGTAATGCTGTCTATGGCCTTCCTGTCCGCAGTTCTTGCAGTAAAATTTAATTCCTGAACCAATGAGGTATTTCTTTACCATTTCATGGCTTGCACAAGAATTGTCACCAGTAAAAGAAAAACAAAACCTTCATTTCTATTTGCTGAAACAAGTTTGATGTCTCAAATGATCAAATAACGTAAGCAGAGGAAGTTCCAGGAAAAGGGTAATATATTGGAAGATTACCAAGAGAATGAGACTAACCTTTCATGGATAAGCTCCTCTGTTCACGGTTTTCGGGTTTACTAAAGAATGCTTTCATAGATTCGGCTGCATGCTTTCTAGCAGCTGGTGTTCCTTTAGCTTTCTAGAGCACAATAACACTAAGCAGATTCAAATGACAATGCAGAATGTGCTTTAAGTCAATTTCAAATGTTTAATAAGAAACAGTGTGGTTACAGACCTTAATTGCAGCTACCCTTTGAGCATGAAGCACAGGATCACGATGTATTATTTTCATTCGCTTACTAAAAAGTCCGGTCTTCGCATTGAGCGACTGAAAATTTCATATTTGGACCGACTGTAACATTTCGCCATGGAGAGAGTATAATATCATGTAGTATATATATGGAACTAACTTTAAGAGACCGGCTGATCTTTTGTCCAACTTCAGGAGGCGGTGACTGGTAAATCCGCTTCGATTTTCCCCTTTTACTGAACTTTATCTCTAAATTATCGACCTCATCGTCCTCCTCTACTCTAAATGGAGAACTGCAACAGGAGAAAAAAGAAGATTTATTAGACAACAAATAACAACAATAAACAGATTTGAGATGTCAACTCTTGAATTATGTTACCTGGATCTAGCTTTCTCCCAAGGTCGTTCATCGATTGATTCTTCCCATATGACACAATCCCCCAAACAACTGGGACAAGTCATTAAGCCCTACACAAATTTAAGCAAAGTTATACAAAAGAGGTCAGAGTTTTGCAGGCATCTAACCCTTTTAAGTACCTTTCCTTTGCATTGAGGGCAGTCTAATCTCGACCTCTCGATTCCGCAGTTGGAGCATGACGTATAACCTCTTCCCCTACAAGTGGGACACGGAAGCTCTCGAATGTACTGACCGTTAGGACCAAACCATGACCTTGGTTCACGCGAATCACCAGATCCATTCCTGAAGAAACCATCACCAAAGGCACATTTTGAAGTTTCAACCAAACTGTGTATTAGATGTATTCACCAACCTCGCTATTATTAACTAACACGATGGTTGAGGATACCTATTTGCTTATTTATCTGCTCAAGTTTCAACGGTTTAGTCTAAATGAGGATGGGATCTTGTTTATGAGACTCATCCAAGCTAGTTGCTTATAACACGTTTTGTATTTGTGATTCTTAACTACCTGCAAAGAAGAACCTAAAGAATGACTACCACTAAAAAATTGGAATCTTGCGAGGGACTGAAAGAGATCCATAATGCTATTATGAGGTTCACATCACAGGGATGGTTTCGGCTTCACAAAAAGAATGGAGTCTCCGACGTCAAAACATCGAAATAACCTAGACAACAATCTGCTTCAACAGTCCTTGATTTAACCGTCTAAGAAGTAAATAACAGACAAGATTTCACAGGATCCTAGCTTAAAGCCAGACAATGGGTTGAAGGTAGATAGCATACATACTCGAGTGATTTTGAGTTTTATCTTTTTTATGAAACTTGAACAGACCTATGTATGAGTGAAGAAGAAAAGGACATGCAGAAAGAGTATTGGAAATTCTCTTTACCTGGGTTTGAAATCGACACCAAACAGTTCCTCTGAAGGATCATAACCCATCTGTCGCTATTTCGAAAGCAGGGAAATAAGTTGGAATTACATCAAAATGTGATTAAGAAGAAGAAGGACATATACAATTTCTCAGAGAAAGAGACAATACGTGGTTT